ATTTAGGGTTTCACTCAAACAGCGTCTACTCGCCGAGTCGGTCTCCCGACTCGTCGAGTAGACTACTTAAACTTTCCGCGGGTCACGACTCTACTCGACGAGTTGGGCCTCCAAATCGTTGAGTCCCAGAGAAAAACATGAGAAATACTTGAATTAAATGCATACCAGGAATCGGGTGTTACAGATAGAGTGCCATCAACAAATTTAAATTTGTTTTTAGCTGATAGCGCAATCTTCAAATTATAATTAAACCATGTAGGAGATAACATAGTAGTAACAGCTCTATCTTATTTATTGTTATTAAATTTGATTGTTTCATATAGTTCCAATTTGAGTGTCATATTTAATTCATTAATAATCAAATGTTGTATTTTGAATGACATAGTAGTATATTAATTCATTATAATGGGTGTAAGTTTATAATAAGCAAGGTAAATAAACTATTAGGAATTACAATGGAATAAAAATGAAGTATGTGTTACTTAGGAAATTAACACATGCAATATTTATAAACCGATTAATAAATTAAAATTAGACGTTTATATGTCATCCTTAGTAATAAATGAAATATGTGCTAAATATAGATTATTAATATGATTGTAGGTGTTCACAGAGCTGGATTTCCATCTTAGCCACTTCAATGGTTTTCTTTTCTGTTTGCTGCTTCGGGTGAGTTCTCTCACTGTGTGTAAGATTATTAATATGATTGTAGGTGTTCACAGAGCTGGATTTCCATCTTAGCCACTTCAGTGGTTTTCTTTTCTATTTGCTGCTTCGGGTGAGTTCTCTCACTGTGTGTAACGCCTGCAGATCCAGGCTAGTCAATCTAGAGACAATAAGTGTCGAGAAAGATAGAACAAATAATATTAACTAAGTTGTAATATATGTCACAATGGTTCCGTACATATAAAGAACACCGAAATCCGAGTTATAACGAAGAAGTTATGAGCTGTTAAAGTTTTGCGACAAAACCGACACTACGTTGTGTGACGTAAAAGGTAAGTTTATGATGAAGTACTTTTTAGCCTTAGCAATCTAAACGAAGGTCGTAGTATACATTGAACTGAGAGTGTGCATAAAAAGAACGCCCAAATCTAACTTCGTATGAGGAAGTTATGATTTTTCCAAGTTTCGACTTAACAGTATGTAGCCCAGAGTTCGAATGTTAGATCGACCGATTTTTAGCCGACACAACCTAAACGAGAATCGAAGATCTCGTTAATAGTAGCTCAACGGTAAAAAGACAGACGAAAACAAACGTCGGATGACGAAGTTATGAATTTTTAACGGACTTTTCATGTCCCTGCCTGTTAAAAATATAACTTTAAAATAAATTCAAAATTAGCCGACAGAGTCTAAACAAAAGTTCTAGAGTACGGTCCCACCTACGTCTGGATATAAAGAACATCGAAAACGGAGCTCGTATGCAAAAGTTACAAATTTTAGAAGACGGAAATGCAAAATGCGAGACGGTTGCGAGGCCACGCCCCGCGTAGCCTTCGGACGCCTCGCGTACTAGCACGCTCCAAGTACACCGAAGTCACGCCCCGCGGTCTTCCTTTGAGCGGTTCCGAAGCGAGCCACGTAGCCCCTACACATTTCGGACACGTGCCCCTTATGCACAACGTACCTGCGAAGGTACGCTCAGCGTACTCCGAAGCTTCGGCCCTATAAAAGGGGTGCGAGGCCAGCCATATTTCTCACCCCAAAATTCCTTTCTTTCTCTCTCTACTCTTTCTCTAACCCTCCCCAAACACCCCCCAAGCCTAGGAAACTTCCCTAGCGCTAGAAGAAAGCCCCGGAGCGCCCGAAGGCTCCGAGAAAAAGAGTTTTTCGGCTCAAAAGCTCTGCTCCAGCAGAGCCCGGTTTTTAGCAAAACTCGTTGTAAGTGGGATACGCTTACCCTACTTTAAATATAGCTTTTATGTAAATATAGTATTGTTATTATGAACTTATAATAAATATTTGGGTTATTATTATGACTTATATAAGTGTCGTTATAATATCTTTTTAACTGCTCGTGGTACGGAGAATCCGGTTTGAAGGGCCGCTTGGGTTGTTGGATTTCAGAAGTGCTATAATGCCAAAATGGTACTGCCCTCCGGTGTTTGATGTCTGGCCCCTAACTGTACATAGTGGTTGGAAAATATTGTTTAACGCTCATATAATAATAATAATAATAATAATAATAATAATAATAATAATAATAATAATACAAACAGATCTAACAGATCACTACAACATAGCAACATTCTATATACCTAGATACAAGTCTAACAGATCACTACAACATAGCAACATCCTATACACCAGGATACAGGTCTAACAGATCACTACAGCATAGCAACATACACTAAACCAGGATATCAATCCAATATGTCGGCCTTGGTGCCTTCGACGCATAAGTACAGTGAGGAAAACTCACCTCAATCCGTTGATAATCAAATGTTTGCTCGGGTTGTTGAACCGGATAACCTCGCGCCAACTAACAAAATACAATCTTAATCAACAATTATCCAGATAATCCAAAATTCGAGGCCCACTCCATAAACCAACTTCCTAAAGGGTAAAAGACCATTTACCGTTTCCTCATTTAGCCCAAAACCAAGGCCCGATCCAATCACACAATAGCCCAAGATGGCAACCCAAAGCCCAAAATGGCCCAACAAGGCCCAAAACCACATCTCACGTCGTGACCAGCCTTGGTCACGTCATGAGAGCTCACTCAAATAGATCCCAACTCATCACGACTCAACCTAGCCAACTTAGCCAAGGAAAAGTCAACAGGGTTGCCCTCATGTCGTGAGAAACCTTCTCACATCGTGAGCCTCAAACAGATAACCAGAAACGGGGCCAAACGCTTCTCATGTCGTGAGACCTTGTGTCTCACGTCGTGAGAACAGTTTGATGCTAAAAATCCAACTTTTGAGTTCTTAAACCATTAAGCTTTCAATCCTAATTCTTCCAGAAGCTAACAAGGACTCCAAAGGCCAATAAAAACGATTACTTGGTGGACATGCATGCCCCAAGCATGTCCTAAAACTATCTTAGGTCAAAATGACAAGAAATGGCCCCAAACTCAAACAAGATTCATAAATTATAACCATACTTCAGATCCATAAGACTAATCACAGAGAATGACTCATTGATCCATAAAGTTGCCAACTTTATGGATCCCAAGCATGCAATCCATCAGAAACATGCAAAAAGGAGTGTAGAACTTAGATCTAGCAATTTGAGCTCATAAAGATTTGATCTTGGACACTTACAATGGTTCAAAATGTGCACAAGATGATGATGATGAAGCCTCCTTGCTGAACCAACACTCGAGAACTTTTCCTTCTTCTTCTTCTAGCCACCAAAACACTATAATGGATCCAAAATCACCAAGATGGATTAGAGTTAGGGTTTTCTGAGTTAGTGGAAGGTGGAGGCTGAGAAATCAACCCTAAAACCGATTTAAGAGGGCTTTAATATGTGGGAAACCCTAAAACTTTGTGGGCTTGGGCTACAGCGAACCTCACGTCGTGAGCTCATATTTCTCACGTCGTGAGCTCAGTCCCGGATAGAATCTTCATGCGGCCCTCCTCACGCCGTGAGCCTCCATGCCTCACGTCGTGAGGACCTTTTTTTTTTCTTCCAAAATCCAACCTTTGACCCTCTAAAAGTCTAATTCGATTCATCCAAGAAAACAAATGTTGCAAAAACGGTTTTTAAAACATTGTTGGTTTCAGAATGTCAGATTGGTTGAGAGAGCTGGAATGAAATTGACATTCAATCATTTTTAAATTCAAATATAATTCCAAAACTACCATAGTATAGACAATATTTTTATCCAACCTAGTAGTTTAGAGCGATATCTACATTATACATAACATTTAGACGAAATTGATAATGAATCAACTAAAAATCACACTACTAAATATCCTAAATCAGATACCACGAAACTGAGAAAGTCAAAAACCACAACAAAAAAAATATAGTGTTTTAGAGTTAATAATCAACTTTTATTTTTCAACAATATTTTATAGTCTACATTTAATGGTGAGTTAGTTTTTCCGTAAACAATTTTTCGGTTTTTTAGGGAAAACTGAAATTCGTTTTTTTTTTTCTGGTTTTTTTTTGTTAACGGTTGGATTGTTAACGAAGGAACACAATCGTTGGGAATGACAAGTATAAATACATGTGTTTGACCCTCGTTTTTATTCATTCTTTCACATTCTGCAACTATAATCATAGAAATAATTGGAAGAATTATAGGAATCGTTAACTGTAATTCTTAGAATCAAGGAGGTCCTAAGAGGATCTTAGTCATTCAAATCCATCAACGATCATAGTGAGGGCTAATTATCCTTAAGGATGGTGATATAGTAGCGTCCTAGTTTTTCAGTAATATATTTTCGATTCTATTTCCGTACTCTAGGCTAATTATCCTTAAGGATGGTGATATAGTAGCATCCTAATTTTTCAGTAATATATTTTCGATTCTATTTCCATACTCTAGATCCAACAGGGTACACAACTAGTTTTGGAGAATTGTCTTTTTGATTTTGTCACCACTGTTCAGTTTTCCTTACTTGCTTCTTGATGAGGTAAGTTTAAAAATCCTTGGCCCAATATCTAAATGATTTAAAAGAACCAAATATAATTCCATGTACTCACTGTTGGCTTCTTGCTGCTTTGTTTTAAATAGAGTCGCAAGCTTTTTGCTAGTTATTTTCAATAAATATTTCTACAAAATCTTATTATATTTTATGTTCTTAAAAAGAATATATAAGTACTGATCGAACACAGGAGAACAAAGATCATTTAAGCATTAACCTTCATACTAAGTTCAAAAATACCAAAAACACATACATAACCATAAAGATAGATACAACGATCCATTTACTAAAAACGCTTAATACCTATAATCCCATAATAAAACCCTAATCAGCTAAATACCAAACATGGCAACAAAATGATTAGTTGCCGTACTTAAAGCTTTAACCACTTATCATTCAAATACCATCCATGACTTGCTGGATTATTTGTTTCGACTCCTGGAGCAAACCGATACTCTTTTGGAGCCTCTCCCTCTTTGAGGCCACCGAAGTAGGTTCATCCAGCATCTTCTCCATACCACCACCACGCACCATCACCTCATTTACAATCTCCTTTTCCAACTCACTATTCACCATTTTTTGTATCACAAACCGAAGCTCAAGAGCTATCCCATCCACCATTCTTCCCAAAACAATCTTCCAGTAAGCCATCATCCTCATTTTCAAGTCGAACGCTTGATCTCTTTTGGTTGCTGGAACATTCACTAGATGTGTGATGCCAATAAAAGGACAACCTTCCATTGAAAATGAATAATCATCGGTGATTGCACTCAAAAACTCATCACGCTTGCCCATTAGCTTGTTCCAAGAAGTTATGAAATCGGGGTCACAAGTGTAATCTGTTACTTTTTCCATTTCAATCATCTCAAAAACCCTTTCCACCAACTTCTCCTTCATTCTTAACATCACATTCAAAGATGCTTTCTTTATGGAAGGAAGAAGTTGTGGATGATTCCCACAATGATCCATCAAGACTCTAGCACAAACAATCTCAAGATAACCCCATACTTTGTTTAAGAAACTAATGGGCAAATCAGAGACATCGTTCACTTTCTTCTTTAACAAATACAGAAACGCCGAGTTCGAGAGAAAAAAAGGCAACCGAATCCCATTTGCTTCCTCCAAAACCAGCATCTCCTCAACAAGAAAATTTTCAGAAATTTTGTCACTCTTGTGGAGTTCTTCTGAAAACTCATCCAACATTTCAGCCAATCGAGCATTGCAATGCATTTCTTTATCATCATACTCAAGCTCACCTCGAATCAAGATCTTTTGAAACGTTTCTTTTAAGGACCCAACGATTTGCAAAAAAGCAGCCATTGCATCGGGAATACTAGTAAGAATCCGGGGTAGCTTGTTGAGTTCCAAAACCGAAGCATTAAGTCTCTCATTGATCTTCTTGACAATGTCCGGTAAACATTTTGATATGATCATTGATTGTATTTCCATAAGTCTACGTGCCAATACAGGAATACCTATAATGGACTTGTCCATCTTGGACAACAATGGGTGAGTTTGAAAGAGTGGCTTCTTGCATTCGAGCCTCTTCATAGGTCTCATCTTTGATCCGGTTTCTAACACAGATATAGCCAAGTCCGATGTTGACATCATTTGACGTTACCTTCTCAAGTAAGCCCTCCGGCGACTGATCGGATTTGGTTACCACGGCTAAAGTTCTTTGTCCTGTGCTGTCAACACGTCGTGACATGCAAATCGATTCACATGTTGCAAAATCAACATTTGCAGCAAGAACATTCAAAATGATACTCTCTTCTGGCTTAATATGCTCCATTATCATATCTGAAAGATTCAAAAAGTAATTATAAAGCACATGTATTTTTAGTCTGCATAGATTTATAATACTTATAATAAACGAAATACCTGAAATCTGTTCGTAAATGTTTTCCGGTTGATCACCCACAGCAACCCGAGCTATTCCGGGCAAATCAATCATGGTGAGATTTGGAACACCATTCTTCTTGACGACTAAAGTTAAGGGTACATTTGATATCCCTTTATTATCTCCGGCTATCTCCACGGTGGCCTTATCGATGGCATCCGAAATCTGGCTTTCTTCCATGATTGTAACCGATTTTTTCTGATACTCCAGAAGGAGTTCTGGGACAAGATCTGGATGGTTTTGAAGCCTCATGATCAGAGGTACTCGTGTGCAGATGTTCTGTCCACGCGGCAAACTTATGCCGGCAAGCGACTCTAGAACGCTGGACTTGCCGGAGGACTGGTCTCCAACAACGACGATGGCTGGAAGAGGGATGCCTTCTTGGGTGACTTTGAGACGACGGAGCTTGTCGACGGCATCAAGAATGGGACGTATTTTATCGTTGTAAGATGAAACGATGGGCGGAAACTGCGGTTTGTGATCTTCGGTAAAAGGAAGAAGTAGTACCTCACCGCCGTTGGTTGTTTTGGTGCTGTTGTAAACTGGAACCATGGTGTTGCTCTTTTCCGCCATTGCTGCCGGAAATGCAAGTGGAGTAAGTACAATTAGTGGGAGGAATCGTGTACGTGTTTAGAATATCAAATCGTTCTCAGGCTTTATAGGAAAAGTAAACCTGTTGAATCAGAAAGAATCATATTTGAAGATTTTCAATTTCCTTTTTTTTTTTTTTGAAAAAAAAACCTTTGAAATTATCTTTACTTGAAAGAATTAACTATAATGTTTATTTTGAAAGTTAGTGATTTAAGGGACGTGTTAATTATCTCGATTAGAAACCGGAATAGATTGAAACTCGGTTTGATTTTTCAATTCTTCATTTTTTTTATTTTTTTTATTTAAATCGATTTTATCCTAATCTATTTTATCTTGACATGTCATCATTTTATTTTTTATATAACTCTACATTAATTTTCTTGCAATGTATTAAACTTTATAAAGTTTAATGAAATATATTTTGAATAGTTAAAATGTTTTTTTGAAGAGTTCAGTGGCTATTAAATTCCATATCTATTAAATGTCCAAAAATAGTAGAGTTTAAATTAATGAATGTCCATTAGACATGTCATTTCATTCAACTTTGTCATTAAACTATATATTGTGGATGTTCTAATAAAAGAATACTAAATATGTCATTTGTAATTTTTTTTTTTATAATTTTCAATTTTTTTCACTTGTTTTCTAAAAATGACATGTATCCTCTTATTGTTATTGTTTTCCTACTTATTTGACGTAGCTTACTCTTGGCAATTACTTTCTTCTCCCTAAATCTCACATATGTGGTTTCGGTTCCTAAAATTGATATGCAAGTTAATTGTGCATTAAAATTTTGAAGACAAAATTGCAAAAATGGTTCATTTGATATGCACTTTTTCTGAGATTTAGTCCAAACCTCAACTTTTCTAACTTCATGGTACTTTTGAGCTAGTTTCATTGCGGATTTGTTCCATCGGTAAACTGAAATGACTTTAATACCCTTTGGTATTTATTTCCTATTTTTAATTTCATTTTTTTAAGTTTAATTATTATTTATTCATTTTAATAATTAAAAAATGAGAGGGCCCACCTTCTCTCTCTCTCTCTCTCTCTCTCTCTCAAAATCCCCAGATGCGAGATTGAATGTATAACCTGATCATCCGCACTTCCCCCATAGTCACTGTCACGGAATCCTTTCAAGAGTCTTTAACTTGAGTATACATGATGTGACACCAGTCAAATTTAGGTCAAAATTTAACTTTTCTAAAATCTTATTTGGGTTGAATGAAGTAGTAGATATCGTGGCAAGGTCTTCGGAAATATAAAGAACACTAAAATCCGAGTTATAACGAAGAAGTTATGATCAATCGAAGATCTGCAACAAAACCGGTAAAACACTGTTAAGCGTAAAACACGAAATTTCAATAAAATACTTTTTAGCCTTAGGTATCTAAATGAAAGTCGTAGATATCATTAAACCGTAAACGTACATAAATAGAACGTCCAAATCTGACTTCGTATGAGGAAGTTCTGATTTTCCTAAGTTTCGGATATAGCAGTAGACAGCTAAAAACTCAAAATAGAGATCGAGCGATTTTTAGCCAACGCAACCTAAATGAAAATCGAAGCTCTCGACGATAGTAGTACAACGGTAAAAAGACAGACGAAAACGGACGACGGATGAAGAAGTTATGGATGTTTAACGGACTTTTCCAGTCCCGACCTGTTAAAAATATAATATTAAAAATAAAGTCAAAATTAGCTGACGGAGTCTAAACGAAAGTTGTAGAGCATAATCTCACCTACGCGTGGATATAAAGAACGTCAAAAACGGAACTAGTATGCGAGAGATATGAATTTCCGAATTTGGAACACGAAACCCCACGCTGTCAGAAACTCACGACGTGAGCCAGAAGCTCACGACGTGAGCTGGTGACTGATGGGTGCCAGAGTCGGGCTATCATACGTCGAGTCTACGTAAGGGGATAAGATCGAACTCACGACGTGAGCCACTCCATGCTCACGACGTGAGCTCCAAAAATGCACCCTATAAATATGATGTGAGGGCCCCGGGTTTTGGTTGCTAATTCATTACTTTCTCTCCCGAATTTCGTACTTCTACCCTCTCGGGACTACCCCGACGCCCCGATTTCATATCCAAGCACTAAAGGAAGTTCGAAGACCCGAGATTTCTGAGAAATCGACTTCTTTCCAGTCGAAGTGCTGCCCGAGTTAAACATCGTTTTCATCAAATCGTCACTTCTACCAAGTGAGTTCATACCCCTATCACCACAATTTTAAATGCTTTTAAACACTTTCAAGGGGGGGAATACAAGTAAACACACGGTTAAACTCGTGCGAAAAACATCAATCTTTTGATATACTTTTCATACTGTTGTTATAACTATCATATGAGTTGTTAACATGCAAAACATCATACATCGCAACTTTACCCTCATGGGATACAATATGTTTTATAAATAGAAATATGTTTTATTTATATGTTTGCATACTACATCATACCAAGAGTAACCATTTCAACTATAACATTACGTTTGTACACGAAAATACAACTCATTATTATGCCTTTGTCAACACTGTAGAAAGAGTAATCATTTCAGAAATCACTCATATACATTTTAAGAATACGTGACTTAATTGAGAATCCGTGAGACATTCGTCTTCACTATACCTATCAAGGTACCACTAGAAAGCCCTGTTTTATAACCAGAGTCTCCCGTCCGGAGAACGTGATAAGTGTGTATAGATCTATACGGGACTGATGATCCCGCGCCCTGACTGTTAGCTACAGTCCGCGGGGTCACAAATATCATAACGTTTCGACGTCTGAAGAACGTCGCTGCAGGCAAATTCATCTTAGTACGGTTATGAAAACTCACATGATAGACAATTATTATGGTATTATGTTTTTACGGGAAAAGAAATATTACAGTTATTTTTACGTGAAAATACAAGCTTCATATAGTTTTGTTTATTAATAAAACTATACATCATCATTTTAAGTATGACATATTTACTTACAAGTTACAGTATTGGACATTTAAAACTGCTTTTCAACTTTAGGAACAAATAGGATTTTCCTGGTTCAATACATTCATTTTATACAACATTGATTCAATACTTATTTTATAAGAAAACATCGGTCTTGATTCATATTAGACTACAACTCAACTCATGGAAAATATAGGATTTTCCGGGATAAACATCATCATTTTACAAGTAAACGATTTACAATTTAACTTTCTGGAAACAAATACGATTATTTATTTCAAAGCGTCATTCTTTAAGTAAAATAACTTATACAATTTTTGTCTTAAGGTACTAAGACTACATTCCATTCAACTAATAAGAAAATATCGGATTTTCTGGAAAACAAACGCGGACTTTAGAATGGCATGCATTTACTCAAATAACTACTTATGAGCTCACCAACTTAAATATTGACACTTTTTCTTTGAAATAATTTGTATTCTAAGGGAATCGCTAAATCAGGTTAGCAACTGCTTTTGGGGACTAATGCTCTAGCGTTAGTAACATCTTTTGGAACATCATATTGTATTTGACTTTTGAAACATGTAATACAACAATCATGTAAACTTTTCAAATATATATTATGGTGGTGTGTACTTTCTTTACTATTCAATTGTTATGATACTGTACATGACGTCCTCCGCCCCCGAACGTTTCCGCCATTCAGGTTTGGGGGTGTGACACATGAGCTTCTTGCTTTTTCCTCTCTCCCTTTCTTCTTCATCTTTCAAATTCATAAATGAAAATCGATCTGCAGCCAACGCTTGATGAAAGGTTCTATCTTCATCCCCAAAATCAAGATTATTTCAAAAATGAAAGTGAAAGTGAAAGGGAGAGGAGTAAAATGAAGAATAAAGGGAGAGATGAAGATTGTAGGGGTTTCGGTGCTCACCTGAACCGTTTCGCTTCATTTCTTCATACTTCTTCATCCTTTCACCAGACGAACAAAAAAACCCAAATGTTTTGCTGTGATTTTGGTGAGGAAAAAAAGAATGCATCCCCTGTGTATGTATGTGTGTTAAATCCAATCACTTGATTGATTTATCCCCCATTTCAGAAGGTATATATAGTCGGTTGGATGGCTACCAAATAAAGCGACGACACCACTCCATCTTTTGCTTATGTAGTATCGGGAATCCACCATTTCAACATCTGGATCCACCACTTCCTCTGCGCTTTTCTTTTCATCTCCCAGTTGAGAGGAATTTGTGTTTTCTGGGTTTTGAGGTTGTTGTAACATCCCCTAATTTCTCGGCCAGAAAAGACCGATTTAATTTATGTTTTTTAAAATAAAATCAGAGAATCTTTTTAGAAGATGTTGCGGAATTGGTCCCCAAAAACAAAACATGATAAAAGTTTGTCAAAACCTTTCTTTAAGAAATATATAATTTCCTTTTATATTAAAACCTCGGGATGTCATGTTCCGATACAGATCAAAAGCATAAACAAGACATTATAAGCCTTACAACAGTTATTTATAACTACTGGCCTATAATCCATAAATCACTCATCATCATCATCCGACTATGCTTGGGGTCCACTACCTGTAATCATAAAAAGCTGAGTGAGTCAGGCTTGGAAGCCTGGTGAGCATATAGGGTTTTCAACCCACAATAAATAAATTTATTGTACTTAAACATCAATCAATCAACCAAATTACCCCAACCCCATTATCTTATTAATTTCTTAAGGGTTTACCCTAAGATTCAACTATCACTCCTTCCTAAGGATTCATCATAAGGAATAGGCACAAGGTCACACCATCACCAGGGTTTATACAATAGGGGCTAAATTCATAGCTCTTATTTATTGACAGTATTATTGACAGTATTCACCCCTGTCATACATGTCAATGGGTTTTTTAGAGTACACCTTATGAACATATAGTTCACCCACTTACAGGTTGCAAGCCTGCTAGTGTTCCACAGACCATCTAGAATAGTCCATGGTTGTCATCCATACTCTGTTGAATGACGGGGGTCACCGTTTGG